TACCTGCTTCCAGATCAGGTGTGAATAAAATCACCCCAATGTTGGTGATTTTATTCACCCACATGGCTACGTGCCCCCCTCCTGCTATAGTTCTGGGGCTATACAGACCCAAGACAAATCAAGGATGTTTCCAAATGGGAGCATAGTAATTTATCATTAGTATCCTTATAGTCCCTTTCTTTTTTGTATGTATGTGTGATTATTGCTTTAATTTGCTAGAAAGGCCTCTGGAGTCTAGTTTAGGTATTTTGGGATGGTATCATAAATCAAAATAAACATAGTCAAAGCTGAAGAAAAATAACTTAAGACAGAGGAATTGAGTCTTAATGTTATCCTTAATAGGTTGGGCTTTTTTCCAAAATAAGTCAATAACAGCTCAACTTCAGTGGAAGGTCAGGTTTTAAAATGTGGTCTTGTGGCCAAAATCTAATTGGGCGAAATTAATGAAACCAGCATGTGACTGGTGAGATTTTTTTTTTTCCAAATAACTTTTATGTAAGTTGAAAGAAAAAAGAGAAAGTACCAGTTTATTACGGTCTGCTTTTCTCTCTCAGGATCTTATCAGCTCTAGAAGAATATCAACTTCTATAACAATTCCAAAATTGATTTATTTTTCTTTTGTGTGAATCTCCTTTTCTTGTTTAATTAGAGGCATAATACAGCGACCCTTTGGCTTTTGTATACTTGGATAGAAAACTTTCAAAGTATTTCCTTCACTAGAAGGCTTGTACAGCATGGGAGCACCGAAGAGGTGGTGGGATCTCCATCCTTGGAGGCTTCCAGGACATGGCCAGACCATGCTGTGTCTCCCCTGAGCCCACGCCGGCATTGATCCCGCTCCAAGCAAGAGGGTGGGCTGGAGACCCCCAATCATCTGCTGCTTTGTTATACCAAAAGGGAAGCAGCTTGATGAAGAGGGCTTGGAGGTCCTGGGCTAGAAGCAAGGGTCCAGCAGCTCAGGACATAAATATCTAGTTAAAGCAGCTCAGTATTTAGTGAATAAATTTTAAAAACCCCTCTATCTACGGTTATGGTTTTGATTCTTCTATTGGAGTTACTGGGTATTTGCAGCTGATTTAGACACATGGTGAGGCTGTAAGTGTTTTATCAGAGCTGTTGATTGCAGCCTACCTCTGTCTAGGAGGTGATATTGTTATTGCCTCCAGATAGCTGTTAGGTATTGCTTTTAGTTTGGGCTTCAAGTTTTAGTGTTGAGGCATCAGCACATGAAAGAAACAGCATCTTGTGCAGCCGTCTGCACCCCCCTCCTCCTCCTCAGCCTGGTGAGAGACGTTCCTCTGAAGAAGGGAGCTGTGCACATTGTAAAAACAACAACAAGAACCCACCCAGCTCTCTTGCTTGTCCCCGGGGACCGTAAGCTGTGACAGCGTTGGATAACCTTGAACGAGAAGCCGGATCCCGTGGCCCAAAGTGAACTCCCTCTGCTTATCCCTGCACGTAGCTTTTATCTTTGCCGTTTGCTTAAGCAGAAGAGTTTCAAGCGTAAGAGTTTTGTCAAACCTCCCTGCTTCCGAGATGCCTGAGGTGTCCCCGCGTAGAAGGCGGCTTTTGTAGGCAGAAGACTAATAATATCTACCAAAAGCATCTCAGAACTGATGCGTGTAAACTGCACAGTGCTGGACTCCTCCATTTAACCTTGCCCTGTAGG